GACCCATTTAAAAATATGCAAAGGGTCTGTCTAGTCCTCTGTGTCACAATCTATGTTGGCTCCTGGCTTAACCTCACAATTGCTGCCTCTCGGTGCCTGGTACTGTAAATCCTGCTCCTGCTGGTCCAGGGGAAAGTCTGGAGGCCCCGGAAATAAACTGATTTTAGAGAAGGGCAGCATCTGCCGGAGAGATAGCCCCGCAGTGTCTGTTTCTGAGCGGGAGAAATATTAAATAAACCTAAGGAGGATGGATGACTTTCCAGGGCCCTTTAAATCTCCACCTTCCCAGAACAAACCAGGAGGAGATGGGGGAGATCGATCCTTGCTTCCCGCTTACCGGGTTTACAAGGAAGCAGGCAGTGTGTGGCGGGGGATAGACATGACATGGTGTTGGTATGGAAAATGAAGTTGTTGGTCAAGACAGGTGGGCCTGCATCTAGAGAAAGCTCTGGCCTGGCTTCAAATCCCACAGCGAAGGATCGAAAGTCAGACTCGCAGAGGCACACCCGGGCCCGCAGACCCGCCGCTCTCCTTCCTTTCCCGCAAACACCCGGACTCTTCTTTCATCTCGGGTCCTCAGAGTCCGTTGGGCTCACTTTAAAAATAAAAAAAAAAAAACCAAACAAACAAACAAAAACGAAGGTGGGCCTCCCAGGCGCCCCTTCTTCCCCGGCGTCTGGAAGATCCGGCTGGGAGGACTCGGGGGCGGGGGCAGATCCCCGCTGGCGCCTCCCGCAGCGGCTGTCATGGCGGCCGCAGCCTCTTCCCTCGCCTCCCCCCAACTCCGCCGTCCGGCCCCAGCGCCATTTTGAGCATCGTCTTTGCTTCCCTGTCTCCCTCCCACTCTCCTCGCTCCTCCTTCTCTCCCTACAGGCCCAGCGCCTCGCGGCGCTACCGGGCCTCCCTGGGCTTGTCGCCCGGTTGCTTCTCGTATGCTCCCCCAAACCCCAGCAGCCCCAGAGTGCATGGGTGTCCTGGCAGCGCCACATTTCTCAGCTGGCCACTTTTCTTGCCCACTTGGCGGCCAGTTACCATCCCTGGGTGCGAGGCCTTGCTTCCCGAGAAAATCCCCGACCCCACTCCACTCCTTGGAGAGCCACCTACAGCTCCCAAAGAGGCCCAGGCTTCGCGTCCCTAGGCTTCTTGAGTTCGGTAAAAGGCCCTACAGCGGCTTTGGTCCTAAGAAGCAATGAAGCCCCTGGGATCCTTCCCAATTCCAGGAAACTTCTGCGCCCCCGCCAGGACCCCGAAGCCTGTCCCCAGGCCTCCTCTCCTTGCACCGTCTTCTGTTCGCTATACACCCGCCCATCTTTATCTCTAAGCAGAGGCCCCAGGACCACCCGCTTGGGACCAAAGGCCCTCTGTTGAGGTGCACTGAGGTGACCGAGCTTCCTGCAAACTCCCGACGCTGGCCGGAGCCGTGGGCGAAGTGGCCATCCATCGGGTCACCTTTGTACAACCCGGACTTCGCCGGTCCAGGAGGCTTTGCTGCCACATAGGCCGCTGAACCTAATCAGCTTCTCACAGGTCCTGGAGGGGTGAGGACTGGCCTTGGGGCCGGGGGGGTGGGGGGGTGGGGGAAGGGGTTAGATTCCAACACAAACACTCGTTTTCGTATTATAAAGACATTTATTTAATCTATGAAAATAATGTACAATAAATACTTTCCCTTTTTCCTATTAAAGAATTTTAATAAATAATCTACAGTCTAAAACATAAAAAAGAGGAAAATAGGTCCCTCTAGTTATTTTTAAGAAAGTCCCCCTAGAGTTTAATTATTCCTGAGATTTCATTGGAAGGAGTCTACCAAAAGGAATTTTGGGTTGAATTTTAAAAGATGCCCGAGTGCCCAATATTTTAGAAGAAGGGGAGTGGATTAAACGCTAATTCAGTAATACCTGAATTTTAGCAAAACACATAAGTCTATGCGACTGGGGGTGGGAGAGGCTCAATTTTTCCAGACGGCCAAGGAGCGCGGGTGTCGAAAGGGCCGGGAGGAGGAAACCGGTTAGGGAAATTGCAGGTCGATGGCACAGAGCGTGCTGGTGAAGAAGTCCAGATCTTCCTCGGAAAAGGGGACCGGGCTGTTGAGAGAACCCTGTAGGCTAGGGGAGAGGCCTCCGGACAGCTGGAGACAGGAGTCGGCCGCGAAGAAGTTGAGGTCGGGAAGGAAAGGCGAATCCTGGCGCTCTGGGAAGACGTCTTCTGGCAATGGCCCCGGCTCCTGGCCGCCCGACCCGCGCAGCATGCAGCCGGGGCTCGGCGCGCCCGCCCCCTCTAAGCTAGCGGCTAAAGGCCGGGGGTCCGCGGCGCTCAGGGTCCCCAGCACCACCTCCGGCGGGTGAGAACAGGCTTCCCGAGCCGCCAGCGAGGCGGAGGGGCCGCACGGGCTGACCGCGGGCTCCTCAGCAGGGTCGCCGGTGTCCTCTAGGGCGCCCGGACAGACAGGCTCCCCATCGGGCGGCTCTCGGTGCTGCGTCTGCCGCTTGTGCTTCATGCGCCGGTTCTGGAACCAGACTTTGACCTGCCTTTCGGTGAGGTCCAGCAAGGCCGCGATCTCGACGCGGCGTGGCCGGCACAGGTACTTATTAAAGTGGAATTCCTTCTCCAGTTCCAGCAGCTGAGTGTTGGTGTAAGCCGTGCGCAGCCTGCGCGCCCCCCCGCCACCAGCCTCTGGCAGTCCCAGGCCATCTGCAGAAAAAACAGGCGGGACGTCATAGCGGGCCGTGTACTCAGCCCAACCTCGGATAAGGACTACCCCATCCGCCAAAACCAATATCACCTCTCCCTTTCCTCGCCACCCCGCCCCCGCCCCCCACCCCAAAGCGGCTCGCTTTCACTGCTTTTGGGTTCCCTTTTCTCCCTCCCTGGTCGACAGTCGGAGCCTGGGTCAGGTCAAAGCATTCAGAGCCGCCCACGGGCCACGCAGGGGGTGGAGAGCGGCTCCCTTTCGCACCGGAACCTCAGATTCCCCCTCCCAAGCCCTCCCAGTGGACCCCTCAATTCAACTTTCCAACTCAACTGGAGCGAGGGTCATAAAGATTGTTCTTCACCCCTCTTCTTCCCTAGCTCTGAATTCTTCCTCTTCTAGTGTTGGGGCAGAAAGGACCGAATCTTTTCTTGCTTTTAGAGGCAATCCCAGCAACACACTCATTCCCCTACATAGATACGGGTGAAAACCTCAATAGAATCATTTTCTTTTAGCAGAGAAAAGGTGTTTCCCCAACCAGCTTCCAAAATCAGAGGCAGAAAGAGAAAAAAGACCCTGGCAGCGGCCAGGCCTGCACCCCAGCGAAGATTTTCCGCTTCCCCATCCCAGCAGTAATGGACGGGGCAAGGAACCCCAGCAGGCTCGCCACCTTTTTTTTTAACCTCCTCCCACTGCTTTTTCTCCCCCTCTTCTAGCTGCCCCTCACCCCACCCCCACCACGCTTACTGACCTGCAAGCGATCCGACCCCGGAGGCCCGGACCGCGGAGGCGGCCGGGGAAGGAGACGTGGCGAATTGGCTGGGTTTCTTGGCGGATTTCTTCTCTTTCATCCAAGGGAACTCGGGAGCCAGGGGGGCAGTGGGGAGCGGCAGCGGTGGCGGCGGCAGAGCAGGCCCATCTTCGGCTCGCTTTTGGCTCCTGGGTCTCTGAAGGGTGGAGGCGCCGGGCTGGAGGCTGGGGAAGGTTTGCTCGAAAGGAGGAGGAGGAGGAATTAATGTCGACTCCTTGATTGATGAAGTTTGAAATGTCTCCAAGACAGCGGGGAAGGAAGTCAGACACTCGGCGAGCGATGGCTGGCTGTTTATAAACCCAATCTCCCTCTCAAATTCAAAATTCATGGCTTTCAATGGTGGGGGAGGGGGCTGCTGGGGGGGGCGTCAGGAGGGAGGATCGGAAGGGACCCCCCCTCCTGCCCCCCCCAGATTTATATAATGGAGCGATTTTGGGAGGGGGAGATTTCGGTCTCTCTTTTTTTAAATTTTGGGCCTTTATAATTGTATATTGCTGATAAATACAAGCGTATGGGGACTCTCTCTATTAAACCCAGGACTCGGGCGAAATTACAGGGAATTCGTGGTCACGGGACCGGTCTCCGCCAATCGCTCGTCTGGGCCTGGTGGAAAACAGAGAGCATTATTTGCTTTAATTGATTCAAAAACTCCAGAGGACCACGACCTGGACACCATGAGCCCCATTCCTCCACCAGTGCTTCACACGCTCTCCCCAGTGCCTCCCTTCTCCAGAAAAGCTAGGGGAACCTCTTCCTCAATCCCTCCGGAGGTTAGGAGGTTTTGGAAGCCTGGAAAGGAAGAGAATCTAAGGGAGAAATCTTCCTCTTTTCCAAGTATTTTCATAGAGTAAATTAAGGCTTTCTTTACATGGCCAGCAGCATCCTTTTCTCTTCTCCCCCTCCCCAAGAAAAGATGAGTGAGGATCTCCCCATTGGAGGAAGAGGGAGTTGAAAGAGGCTTCCACTCTGAAAAAGGTCAGTGTTAAGGTGCAAATAACAAAGAGATTTACAATCATCAGCACCACTATCCCCATGTCACCCTCCAAAAGCAACAGTTAAATCTTAGAAAATGGACAGGAACTCCCAGGCTGACACATAGAAGTGAGATGGAGCATGAGGAGCATTTTTGGGCCTCTAGCCCCCATAGCTGTGTGGCCTAGGTTCTTCTCTTCTCTGCCCAGTGTTTGCAGCACTGCCTCTGCCTCTTATGTCCCCCTGCTTTCCTCATTTTGAGGCATCCATGCTTCTTTGTGACACCGCCTCCCCCCAAAACAGGCAGAGTCTAAGATGTGCATGTACCCACTCCAGCCTCAAGCTTGTATCTGTATCCATATCCAGGGGCATGAACAAGAACTGAGGTAGCCACTGATTTAACTTAGAGCACTCTCAAAGTTCAGGTCAGCATATGTGTGTGCCTGGTGTGGTGGAGAGCTTTTCCCCTAGGACAAAGAGACTTTCCTCCCATTTTTGCCATTGTGCTAGTTTAAAAAAAAAAAAAAAAAAAAATCCCTGACAAGGAAGAATTCCCTGAAGTGGAATAATGACCACTGAGATGATACTTCATTTCTGGCTCCTAGGGAAAAATGTTTTTAAATTTTATTTTGAGAAGACCAAGATAGTCTAAAGTTTAGAATGTTGTAATTTACTATAGGGAGAGGGCACAAGAAACTAGGCCTCGAAAACAGAAAATGAAAAGTCGAGCTGGGGGAAGATTTTTAAATACGTGGGTCAGAGGGACAGAGAGGAGATGAGGCGATCAATCTTAGCCCTCTGACAGCTCCCTCCGATTGCATCAAAGAATTTGGCTCTTCGGAAAAGCAGAGGGAACAGCCAAAATTTCACATCCCTTAAAAAGGCCTGGGGGTGGGGGTGGGGGTGCAAAAGAGAAAGGTGATTCTGGGAGAGCTGGGAAACAGATGGGAAATGGGGACAGAGGGAAGGCGCTAAGTTGGGTGGAAAGTTTGCCTGGAGAACTCTCACAGCTCTGGCCTCCCCTCCCCCTCCTGTCTCTCTGCTGCCCAGCCAGGAGGAGAAGGCTGGTTAGCAAAGAAATGGCAACCGAGCCCGGAGCTGGAACTAGAAACTTTCTGTCAATGTTGTATCTGCGTGGGTGGTGGTGAGTATTTTAAAAAGATGGGCAGAGAATTCTGAGTAGAAGGATGATGGTGGGGGAGAGGAGGATAGAGAAAGGGGAATTGGAGGTGGGGGCTGCAGGGACAGCGGGAGGCAGGAACAGGAGGGCTCTGAGCTGAGAGAGAGAGCGCTTCAACCCAGGCAAAGTGGCCAGCGACAATAGTGTGCAACTCGGCTCCAAAGAAAACAATTTTTACCATTTGGAGGTGTGGATAGGGGGTGGGGCATGGAAGAATCCAAATAGTAGCTGTCTGGAAGTCATTCAGGGAGGCCTGAGAAAGGGTTCTCCCTCTGGTCATCCCCTTGAACACCTCTGCGAGTTTAGCAACAACTTCTCCAGCTGGCTGAAGGATCCAGAGCTTATCTTGGGCAACTCGGGCAGAGACTGTCCCTGCAGGAAATACAGCTCTCTCTAACCCTCACTGACAGATTTTATGGCCAGATTAGCGAACAGCGGAAAACTTGGGTGTTAAAGGGGCCAAGAGAACCCTCCTTGTCAGATACATCCCTCCTCCGCACGCCCCCCCCCACCCCGTCCTGCTGTGAATTTTACAGCACGGATATTTTACCCAAGTCTTTGGCTGCTTTCGCTGAGCGCCTGGAATCTCCCAAAGAGAAAGATAGGGAACACCAAGCCAAGTTGGTTCTTATTTTTCTTGCTTTCAATTCCAGGTTCGAGCCAAAGCTCTGTTTTTCAAACTTAAGCTAAATTCTCTCTCTTGGCCTGTCTCTTTCCTGCTAGATAAATAAGCAACCCAACCCAACCCCAGAGCCAAACATAGCGCTTCATCTAGTTATATCATTCAGAACATGTTATTCAGGGAAGAAGAGAGAAAGGAAAAAAAAAACCCTTGAGCGTTATTTGATCCCAATCAAACTTTGCACGCTCTTATGCCTTTAAATTACAGCCTGACCAATGCTAAATTGCTTGCTGCTTGGATGAGCCGAGTCCAGTTAAAATCCTACTTGGTGGTAGGGAAGGGGGAGGGTGTAGAATTCAGGTTGCTTTTTTATTGTTATTTATTGTTGCATAAAGACTATAATTACTAACCTTGGACTGCCAGGATGCAACATAAAAATGAAAATCAGCCCTCGCTTTAAGGCAGGGCCTGGAACGATTCTCATCCCCCCCCCCATCACTACCACCAAATATATGCTCCTAATTAAGCAATGCGGGCACATCGCTTACAATTAGAATTATGCAACTCTTCAGCAAGCAGCCATCGCTTCTTTCAACGAATTAGCTCCATATTTCAGCCGCCCTGTCTTCTCGCTCTTATCGGCTCCGGCGACTCGGCGGTGACATTTCATCTTTGACAGACCCTCTCTATTCTCACTCCAATGTGATAAAACTTTTATGGAACCACGACTAAGAAATGAAGTTTTCCCAAGGATGGTGGAAACAGAGCCGCACATTAGCCTGGGGACCATTTTATTTACGTTTGGATCCAACAGCTTCTCCCACCCTCCTCTCCCCTTTCCCTGGCAGGGGAAATCAAATGTGCCTCCTCTCCCTCCGCCTTGAGTTTTATTTAGTGATTTAATTTTACTTAGTTTTAAAGTTTGACCTGAGAAGTCTAGGCCTCAGATTTTTTTTTTTAGATTAATCATTTTTCTTTGTTTTCATTTTAGACCCAATGGTGGTTGGGCTTCGGGTCACGTGACAACTTCTTTGTAGCTCCGGAAGAGGACTGTGAAGTTTAGGTTTCGTGGAAGAAACTGTAATCGGCCAGATTTTCTTGTTGGTAGTGGGAAGGGGTGAGGGGTGCATGGAGGTTGTGGCCAAAGGAGCTAACAGATGAAATGTCAATGAATGAAAAACTGAGAGGCACAGAGGCCAAACAGAAAAACCTGCAGAGAGCACTCAAGAGTCCCCCCTTACCTCCCAACTTGTTACTTAAACCACAGCTAAAGAAGTTGGCAAAATGTTCCAGGCTCTTATGAATGAGAAAGTGGTATTTAAACCTGATACATATCAAGGGGGAGATAGAAACTTGGGCAGTGGACAAAAGGCCAGGGAAGGGTCTTCAGTGTCTTTGTCCTTCTTCCCTTGGGGGAAATTTGGCAGTCAGCAGCCTTGCTCTGCTATCTAAATTGGACCAGCAGGACAAGATAAAATTGATAACACAAAGTTTATTCAAGAATTGTTTGACAGACAACCCTTTTAGGTAAGGAAAAAAGTAACTACTGAAGAACAAAGAAAGTTCCAAGAGGGAATTAACTCTAGTTCTACAAATTCAGGACTATACAGCGACAATTAGGAGCTGAGTTCATGCCTTTTAGAACTAATTACAATTGTTCATAAGTACTAGTTTAACATAAATCTACAGCTCTTTTCTAGAGTACGATAATAACTAAAATAGCTGGTTTTACATGACAGAAAACACAATGTCCTTTATAACAAGTAAATACTAAAAAAGTACAATTTTTTCATTTTTTTCCCTCATATAAATACATAATGTAGGGGGATAAATAATACAAAAAAGAAAATATTTTAACAGGCTATAACCAATAAATATATATGAAAATGTTCACTAGAACACACGCTTTTTTGAGCGATGCGGACTTCTGCAGGCCCAGACATCTCTCACAGTTGTTTTTATATCCATTAAAATGTAAACTCTAAGTGCAACAAAAGTGCCCTGTCAGGAGACTGAGCAAGGCATACAGGCCCTGCAGCAGCCCCTGCCTGGGACAGTCAGTTTGTTCAAATATACCCTGTTTTCACGTTAAGTCAAGAGAGCAACAGAAGAAAAGAAAAGTGGAGAACCTCGTGTCACCAACTGCTTTCTGTGGAGAGAGGGGGATGGAGCTGGAGCTGAAATGGAGGCAGCAGAATGGGCAAGCCTTCAGTCCTAACAACCTGCCTGCCTTAGCCTCCACACTTTTCCTTAAAAATATATATATCATTTATAATATAGGCAGCTCTTTCAGGATCTCTCACCATCCCTGAGCCCTCTAAAAGCTGTAATTGATGAGGGTGGGATGTATAGATATGAATGTCTTAGAGCAGAAAAACCTGGGGCTGGAAATGGAGGGGGTAGGTACCTCAATAAACCTCAAATAAATGGGAACAAATTCGAGGACTGGGGGAAGTTGAAAGGGAACGTGCTTTGTGCCCCTTGGGTTTGAAACGTGTTTTCTTATTTTTTTAAAGGAGAATTGAGGAAAAAAAAAATCAAGATTTGGGGGGAATTACCTACGAAGATGTAAGGTAAGTCCGTTGGGTGGTGATGGCCTAGCCATCTTGTCTGGTTTTTAAAATGTGCTTCTCTGCCTCGTCCTATCTCATCTTCCTCTACCCCACTTCCGGGCGTGGAATTCCAACTTGGTAGTGCTGGAGCCCTGGGGTTGATGGGGTCATCTCCAATCTGCTGTGGATTCCTTTCCCGATGGGTTGGCAGGCAGATGGAGCAAGGGGTGGAGGACTTAAAAGCAACCTCTCAGGCCAGGAGGAGGGGAAGGAGTTTCAGGCTGGTTCTGCGCAGGCAGCCTGACTACTACCTCCCTGGCCCCTCTTTCAGACGTCCAGGCTGCCCCCACAGAGCTCCACAGTCTCCCTCCTCCTCCCCATCCCCTAACCCTCGTCTGCCCTCTCCCATCACAGGTGCGTTAATTTGGGCGCTTCTTGGATTCTACCCTGAGGAGGAGGCGCATGGTGAGAGGAGAGGTCTGTGTAGGTGGGATGGGGGTCGCAGGGTCCGTGGTGCTGGCTGGGGGCCATAGGGGGCGCCCCGTTGTAGTCCAGGTTCCCGGAAGGGTGATGGGAAAGGTGGTTGAGGCCATAGAGGGAGGGGCCGGCAGGGGGCGGCAGCGGATCTGCGTAGCCACCCCCGCCCACGTAAACCGGACTGCCCTGCATGGTGGGCGTCCCGTAGGCGCCCCCGTTGGCTTGGAGGACGTGCGGCTCATACTCGGGCGCCGGGGGCGGGGGGTACTTCTGCGGGGCGCCACAGCCTTTGAGAGGAGGCTGGTAGTTGGAGGGCAGCGCGTAGGCATTCTGGTGGGCTTTGCCGAAGGCGGGCGGGGACGGACTCTCGTAGCTGGGGGTCATGGAGTGTAAGGCGTTCATGAAGCCGGCCGTGGACTGCATGGCCTGAGGGGGGCTGCCGGCGGGAGAGGGGCCCCCTGACGACGAGGCCAGCCCCTTGGCCTTCTGGTCCTTCTTGTACTTCATGCGCCGGTTCTGGAACCAGATCTTGATCTGCCGCTCGCTGAGGTTCAGCAGGTTGGCCATCTCCACACGGCGAGGCCGGCACAGGTAGCGGTTGAAGTGGAACTCCTTCTCCAGCTCCACCAGCTGTGCGCTCGTGTACGCGGTTCGCGCCCTCTTGGATGCCGCCGACCCCGGGGGGCTCTTGTCCCCTCCCGTGCCGCCGCCGCTGCCGCCCCCGCCGCCACCACCGCCTCCGCCGCCGCTGCTGGCACCACCGCTGCCGCCGCCGCCACAGCCCTCTGCTGGATCCGAGGGGGAGGGGTGGGAAGGGAGAAAATGAAATAAAAGATAATTACTGAACACACCGAAATTGAATGCATCATTTCTTAATAAATCCAGGCCTGGACTGGGAGCCCCCGCCGCCTCCCCTTCGCGTCCCTGCCTCCTCCTCACTCCCCCACCCCACCGCCCGTCGCATTAGCGGACACTCTATAATAGTGGCATTTATTAAGAGACCTGTTCTCCTTTCGCTGCCCCAGCTTATGAAAATTTGATCATGTCACGCAGACAGAGCCGCACAGCCATTTATTTAGGGCTGGATTTTCGCGTGCGTGCTTTCTCCCCCTATCCCCAAATCCAGGTCCGGGAAAACATTTCCCCTCCTCGTCCACCCGGTTCTGAGGACAGGATGGGAGATTGAGGAGAACTCTCGTGGGCAGGACCCCGAAGTGTGGCACGAAGAGGCTGCTGCGCCTGGAGGCCGGGACCCCAGGCCGTCCGAGCGATTGTGATTAATACCCACTGTAATAATACTTAATAATAATCAATCTTTGACGACTCTGCATCCTCCCGGCAGCGCCTCTTCTTGGCTCTGTGGCCTTGGGAAGGGCTTCGAGGCCACGCACCGGGCCTTCTGGAGCTTTCAGAAGCTCCGGTGGAGGGCGGCTAGAGGGAGGAGGGTGTTGGCGGGGTCAAGGGTCATTAGGGGTAGGGGTATCAAAAATGTACCCGACAGCCACCTAATATTGTTCCCAGTCAGTCTCGTGGGCGCCTAGGGGCTGGGTGCTAGAATAACAGTGACATTCCTGGCTCGGACAAAAGCTGATGACAAGGAAGGCAGAGAACTGGTACCTGTGCCGGGGGAGCTGTTTTTCAGCTTGGACGTTTGCCTTGACTCTTTCATCCAAGGGAATATCTGTTTGGTGAGGGTGGAGTTGGTGCCGGGACCGCACTTGGGGGGACCACTTTTGCTGGGCCCACCCCCATTATTGCTGTTGCTAGTGGCACTGGTAGGTGCGGCGCTGGGCGGGGGTGAGCCGGGCGGGGCGGGCAGGGGCTCGGGGGCCAGGCCGGGCCTCATGCAGCTGCCGTTGAGCTCCTTGCTCTTGGCATGTGGGGCAGCGTTGCTCAGGGACTGCAGTGAGCACGCTGAGCGCTGGTAGTCGCCCTCCAGGTGTGTGGCGGCCTGAAATGGGGGTTGGGGGGGGCCGTCATAGCCGAAGCCATTGCTGCCAGGGTACGAGGAGTAGCCTCCGAAGAGAGCAGCCGCGGCGTTGTCGTAGTAGGTGGCTTTCTGCATCGCTGGATGAGGCCCGGGCAGTGGGTGAAAACTTGCAAAGGCCTGATACCCTCAGGGCCGGACATTGGCAACCCTGGGGGTCACGTGACACGCCGGACCCCCCCCCTCCCCTCTGTGCCCCCCTCCTCCGGGGTCTGTTCCAAACGGCTGACCTGCGGGGCGAGAGAAGAGACACAAGGGGGAGAAGAGGACTGGGGCTCGAATCCATCTTCGGAACTGAAAAGGGAACTGACAGCAATAGGGTTTTTTCTTCTCCCCTCCCCGACATCTCCAAAGCAGATGCTGAGGCCTTGTCCCCAACCTGAAATGGATTTGTCTTATTTTAACTCTTTAATTTTAAAGAAAAAAAAAGCCCACTAGTTTTCATTTTCACTAAGAGAAAAATAAATGAGGACTACATGCCTTTCAGGACTGCCTAGAGGTACAATGTACCGCAAAGGCCATTGCTTCTTTCCTTCCTGTGCACTAGCCCCTGACCTCCCCTGCTCTCTCTCTCCCCATCTCTCCTCCCCAACTCTGGGATAGGGTGGCTCAAGGGAGGAGACAGTAGGAGACTCCAAAATAAAAGCATCATCGGCACCTTCCTCTGAGCCCAGAGGCCTTTGCCTCCTTCCAAGTCGGTTTAGGTCTCTTGCCCAAGCAAAGTCTAGCCTGAGGAAAACCAAAGGATCTCCTAAAAAGACAGGCAGGAGAAGCAAGTTCAGCAAAGAAGCTTCTCTGGGCGAGTTGAGGTGTCCTTTCCTCTTCCCACCACTCCCCTACCAGGAAGATAACAACAGCCTGACCCAGAAACTTCCTGATGATTTTTAGCCTCCAGAGCCAGCTGAACCGAGACTCATCCATCCATGGCCCTGCTGCAGATACTGCCACCTCCAGTTCCTGGCTTTGCTCAGCCAAGCCTGGGACCCGGCAGCCAGTGGCCCCTTGGGGCCCCCAAATGGAGAGGACTGTTTCAATTTCCAGGGTCGGGCCAATTGGTGCTGTGACCATTTGGCCCAGGTCTCTCCCCAAACCTCTCTTTTTTTTTTTCCGTGAGACTTAATTTTTCCCACCATTTCCTTCACAGTCTGTTTTCTTTGATTTCTCCAAAAGAAAAGAAGAAACAAGAAATTACAACTGCTGGACCTTTCTAATGAGATGGGGAAAGTGCTTTCCAAAAGAGAAAATTATTCCTGAGGAAGAAAAATCAACAAAGCAATTTGAACAATATTATTCTCTGGGTTAGAAACAGAGGTATCCCTGTTGACTGAGTTTCCCTGGGTGGGGGCGGGGGGGATCACTATTTTAATACAGCCTTTTAAAAGCGTGCCAGAAAAATAAAGATTCAAACTAACAGAATTTTGTGTATTTGTTCTGAAACTTCTGACTGCATTTTTTCCCCTCTGTCTCTCTCAACTCTTCACCATCACTTTTCATAAAACTTCCATACTGCCATGTGTGTTTGGAAAACTTAAATCTTATTCAGCCCAACTGGTCAACTCCAAAGAAAACTAAGTATAGGAAAATAAAATAAAATAAAAGGAGTGCAGGTGAAGAAAGTCCCTTCCTCACATAAATCCCCTTCTTCATGGCACAGATTTATACTCAAAAGGGAATCGGTGTAACCCTGAGTTCCCATTGGTTTCTGGAAATACACATGGGTCTGCAAAGCAGCAGGTCCTTCTAGGGAGAACCAGAGTTCAATTGACCAGGCTGACCCAATCCCTTTATTATTATTACCATTAGCCTCTGCTGATTTAACCAAAATTAGCTTCTGAGCAGCCCTGGCTGAAGGGGGAATTAATTAACAGGCATTAGTTGGGGTTGTTATTAATAGATAGAGAAGAGAATGAAATAAAAACGTTGGAGGGGGTTGGCTGGCTGGGCCCTGCCTTTATTTAGTCTCAGTGATAGTTACAGCAATAATAATGATGACGATGATGATAGTAATAATAATAAAACAATAATTTGACTAGCCACCTGGGGCCGAAATTCCTGTCGCTCCCCTTGCAATAAACCCCAAACCATCGCGGGACGGAGGCCAGGCGAGTGTTCAAAGCGAAGGAGCCAGAGACACGATAGGAAAGAATGGAGACTCCGCTGGTTGTGCAGACAGGGCCGGGAAGGTTTGTGCACCCGGGTAGTCCCTGGCTGCTGCTGCCAGGCTGCCTCGGTCGCTGCTGCCTTGGCAGCTGGCGACGAACTACCAGCCCCCTACGCAAAGAGTAAGCGATCAGGACACCAAATCGGTTATCGGCAGCAGGTTCCCAGCACACCAGCCGACCGAGGGCTGAGCTCCGCAGGCGACAGCAAGTTTGGGCGCTGGAAGTAACCGAATTAAAAGGCGCCTTAGAAACTCCACTTCGGGACTTTGCTCAGCAGAGCCCGGGCTCCAGGGCCCCGAGGCCTGGCGGACGGGGCAGTGGGAAGAGGGAAAGGTGCCGGGGGTTTTCAAGATCAGGGATCCAGAACAAGAGGGGGTGGGGAACAGCTCTACCAAGCCAAACAGATCTATTTCCCTTGCCTCCATGTTGGAAAAATTCAGGTTCCATATGGCTCCTTGGGAGGGAGGGAGGGAGATGGTGGCTGCTGCCGGCTTCCCCCCAGGGTCTCGGTGGAGAAGGGAGGTGAGCCCCCCCAAGAATCCCATCTTTCCAGGCACACCCCAGGGAGAGCCAGGAGAGTAACAATAGCTGGGGAAGCCCCGAGAGAGAGGATAGGCCATCTTCCAGGACTTAAAAAAATTAATGGAAGGAAGAAAAATAAAAGAACAAGAAAGAAGGAGAGTGAAGGTTGAGACTTTCTTAGCAACCGGGGAGAAAATTCATCCCTGGATCTGGCTGCTGAAAGAAAAGAGAGGAGAAAAGAGGAGAGAAGCAGGGAGAGGCAGACAGGGAGAGAGAGGGAGAGAGAGAGAGAGAGAGAGAGAGAGAGAGGGAGGGAGGGAGGGAGGGAGGGAGAGAGAGAGTCGCTGCGTGGAAGGAAGCTTAAAGCTTGTGAACTCTTCTTGAACCGAGATTGGAGTCATATGGGCCATAAATCATTGAGACATACTCTCCGCCATTCACAAACTGATAGCCTATTTCAGTCCAGCTTACCTTAGCCACCGACGAGGGGAGAACAGGCAGACATAATATATATTCACATCGAGCCCCAGCGCGAGCGGCAGGCGAGAAATCTCCCCTCCTTGAAGGCAAAGGAAAAAAAGACCACTGTTTAAAGCTGCGTCGCCCCCCCCCAAAGCCACCCCGGCTGGGGAGCCGGAGGGGCAGACCGGCCAGAGGAGCTGCGCGGCGTCCGCTTCAATTCACTCGGCTTAGGAGCAGGGGTGTGCAGGAGGAAGGGGGTGGGGGAGCGGGGAAAAAAAATAGAAGACCGAAAGGTGCCGGAGGCTCAGCTCGCCAGAATCCAGCTCCCGGCTCCAGCAGGGCTAAGCCGCCACAGTGTGGTTGCCCTATAAGACTGGTACGCCCTACTCTCCGTAACAATGGCCTCTGCTTTTGCACAGGGAAAAAAAAAACCACACAGACACACACACACACACTCACTCACTCACACACAAGCTCACACACCCCCCCACCTCTCCCCCTTTAGCAAGCTTAGATGCCTGATAAGGAGGGAAGGTGATGGTGGTGATGGGGAAGGGGGGGAAATTTTAAAATACCCCCCTCCCCAAAAGAAGAGTGAGAAGGAAAGAAGGGAGGGTTTCTTTTTTAAAATACAGGTAAAAAATTTAAATCTAGACTGGGGGGACAGGGAGGAAGAAGTGAGCAAAGGCAAGGAAGGGCGGTGAAGTTCACAGCTCCCCCCATACCCCACTAGTAAACCAGTATGCTAATTTGAAAAGTAGCATTTGGAGGCTGAGTCCAAGGCAGGCCTGGCCCGGGGGGTGAGGGGGTGGGGGTGCCGGGTGCCCCTCTGCGCTCATTCGCAATTGGAACGCCAGGACTTTTTTAGAAAGTAGTTTAGCTCCTCAGGGACTGGTGGCTGGGTCTCCAACACTCGCACTCTGACTCCCTCCTTCTGAGTCTCCAGCCCTAGCTTCTTCCCTCCACTACACCCTCTCTGTTCCTCCCCAAATCTCCCCCTAATCTCCAGGCCCAGTCTCTAACCCAGGGAGAGGGAAAGACCAGACCTTTTTTAAAAAAACACCCCGCCCCACTGTTCTTTTTGAGAACAGACAACAAGCGGTGAGTGATTTTTAAAACCCAGAACATCTTGCAGGGGGAGGATGGTTGAGAAAAGGGTGACAAAAGGAGGACCCTGTGTTTTAGCTTGAGCTCCAGACTGGCTGGCAGTAGAGGGGCTGAAAGAACTTCACGGAGAAGTTTCTCTTATGATCCTCGCCTCTGGATAGGCAGAAGGCGTTAAGAGGTGATAAGGACATTTGTACTTCTAAGAAGAGAAGAACTAGCAGGGTGGCTTAATTTTAAATGCCCTGGCAGAGTAGATGGAAGATGGTTATTATTATGATTCAGAACAACCCTGTTTGTTTCTCTCTGCCCTGCAAGATTTATGACTCTTGGCACAAGTGAGGAAGGCCACAAAAGCTAAAGTTTTCTTAGGGTGTGTTTGAGCAGGGCAGGAAAAGGCAAGGAGGAGGCCTGTAGGAGGAAGACAGGAGCCAAAAATGTAGGTGTCTGCAGATTTGGGACAGGGGGTGGGGAATAGTCACTCCAGGAGGAAGGAAAAGACAAAAAGAGCACCAGGACATTTCCCAAAGCAGTAGTGTTTGCAACTCTGCCTAACTGCTGACTCGGAGCTAGGGGATGAAATGGAAAGCAGACTCTTGTCTCTAAAAGCAGCTTGGAAAACTGGTTCTCTAAACTTTGTAAAAGGCACTACCCTGTGATTTCCTGGTTAGAATACTTGGCTTTTGCCTTCTCCCATCTGGATGCACCAGGAGAGGGAATGGGACTGGGGAAATCAAAGGTGAGAGATGATTTCCAGCTATTGTGTCCCCTCCAGGATAGGATGGCGGTGTCAGGCAAAGCTTCCCTCATTCCTCTCACTCCCCACTCACAGGTTCTACTTTGGGATGAGAAAGGGAGTGGCCTCTGGCCTCCGGCCCCCACTTCTTCCAGGCAAGGCTAAGTCAGGCCAGGTGAGTTGGAGCAGCCAGTTTCTGGGGGCTCTGATAAACTGGGGGTACCTGTGGCCTTCTTGCCCTCCAGCAACAGGAGCCACATGCACAGCCTCAGAATGTAATGTCCTGAGGACCCCACCTCCTGCCTAGAAAGTTGGTGGCTGGGGGAAGCACGGGTTGGGGAAGGTGGGAGGTGGGGATGGAGGGTGGAAGCTATTTTTCTGTTTTTATTAGTAGTATCAAGAAAAGAAAATGTCCAAGCCAGACCTAGACTTGGGGCCAGCCCGGACCTCCAAAGAGATCTGTTAGGGCTGCCTGAGTATGTAACTGCAAAAAGTCTGTCCTGAGATCTCTACACTCTGGTTAGAGACCTACAGGGTCAGACCCAAATAACTTTGAGCCTGGTGGGTCGGGGACTTGGGCTAGGGAAGCTTCCAGAGGCTTTAAAGGAACCAGCACCTTTGGGATTTTTTCTCTCACTCCCCAGAATAAAATAAAAGCCAAGAATGTACCTCACATCCTCTGCTGTCCTAGCTGTTAATATCATTGGGTTAGAGAAGGTCGCTGTAAAACTGAGAGAAGAGGAGAATCTGATCGCTTTTGGGACTGCACAGCTTTGCCTCTAGGAACAATACGAGAGCCCAGAAGGTGCCCAGCAAGCCTCGGGCCGGCTGCAGGAGAAGCGGACATGGGGCTGAGCTGGAGGTGGAGGAGTGTTCCAGAGACAACAGCAGACCCCTCCCCTCCTCAAGCCTCCTCAACCCTTTGTGGTCCCTCTGGCTACAGAAGGCAGTGGGGCATAATGGGGTGGGAGTGAAAAGAAGGACCGAGAAGCAAGAAAACGAACCTGGAGAAAATCTCAGAGGATATGCACCCCCAAATGCGGTAGGAGATGGAGTGGGGGCTTCTTAATTCTGGAGTACAGAGCCCATTTGGAATGCTTGGGAGGCAATTAGATCCCAGTTTGGTTTCTTTCTTGCCTTTTTTCTTCCTCTTTCGGAGGTCTCTGGCAAGCAAGCAAGCTGCCCCCTGATTAGGGCTGGAAGGCTGGAAGATGGAGGGTATGACAGGCACCCCTGAGGGGCCCAGGTTTGACTGAGGTATTGCGGCTGGCCAGGGGCTTTTCAAACTTCAGGGAACAAAGGCTGGTAGTGAGGAGTTTGGGCAGGGAACTTGGGGTGGGAGACACCAGAGCAGTCTGAGGGAAGACTTTGGGGTCTGGGAAAAGAGAAGCGGGAGAAGGGCTTATCATCACTGACAGTGAAGTCGTGATTTAGGAGCGAACTGGAGATACAGAAGAAGGAACAATTTCTTCTTGGATTCGGGAGGGAAACCTGGGAAACTGTGTGTGTGTACCCACATGTGTGGGGGGTGTATGTGTGTGTGTAAGAGAGAGAGAAAGGAGGAGAAAGAAAAATTGAAAGAGGAAAATTGAGTAAGAGACAGAGATACTAACATAAACTAATAAAGTCAAAAAATAGTAATACGGATAGAGATTAGAGAGAATGTCCCTCTTCACAGACATCCTTTCCTCTTCTATTCCGTTTCTTCGGAGCCAGAGCACTTGCCCTGGCACCTCTCTTCCCCACCCCACTGGGTACCCAGTATCAGGGGACCGGAGCACTTTAACCCCCCTTGAGCAACCAAGGGCTGCCCACCCGTCTAGATTCCATGGGATCACGCCTGTTTCTCTCCTCCAAAAATGCATCAACTGGCAAACAAAAATTCTCTCAATAAGAGCAAACTGGCTGGCTCTTTTAAAACCGATTTCTGATCTTAGACTTGGGGCAGTCAAAGATCCTCTCTCTGGCTCAATCAACACAAAATTTGCCTGGTCCACCGGCTGGCTGGGGAGCTGGGATCTGGGAGCCTGAAGCGAGGTATTTGGCGATGTGCTTCTTCCTGGCCCTGTCTGGGTTCCCTGTCCCACACTGTTTTCCAGCTTCACTGCCCAACTTTGTAGCCCCGGCAGAGTGGCGTTAACTTCACACAATCACCCCAATCTCCATCTTCCCTTAAGTATTAATAAAGATTTCAAAGCTGGGGGTTGTAAAGTGGGAATTGCTAATGAAGAAGGCTCTTGGCATTCGGATCCCCATTCCCAGTTCTCCAATAAACCAGAGAGGGAGGGAACAAAGAGGCACCGGGAAGGGAGACGAGAAGGCCCGCTTAGACCCTGCTCAGCAATAGTGGGGATCAAAAGAAGAAAAAGGTCGCTGCAGTGGAAGAAGAAAAATCCAAGCTGTACTTTTTCCCCATCCCAAGTGTGGGGGCACTGCCCTCTCCCCAGCAGAGCCCGTGAAGGGGTGGCAGGACAAAAAGGGCAGCCACAAGGGTCTGCAAAGTCCACTCAATGACATGGAGGCCGCCTTAACATGCTAATGAGGGGACGGCGGTGCTGCCAGTAAAGTGGAGAGCCTCAGGCAGGTGGGCTCTTTGGTGGCGATAGATCCCTATCTGAATCAGGGCTCCTGCCTCATCTAGCAGCTCAGCCTTAGCCTGGCAAACCCCACCCCCAGTAAGTGTTGAGACAAAGGTGGGTAGAGCAGAGAAGGCAGAGGAAGGGAGGCTGCGAATCCTGGGCAGCTTAGGGGCTGCAGGGGGTGCTGGGAAAGGGAGGGAGAAACAGGAAAAGAGGAATGGGCCCAGTCCCCGAAGCTGAGCAGGCCTCTCCTGACAGATTGGATGTTTCTCTCCCAGTGACCTCTGTTTAGCAGACAATAACTCACTGGATTAATGACCAATCAGCGAAAGGTCTTCCGAATTGTCTCCAAATATAAAACTCCAAAGTCAGAATGGGACAGGGCCAGAGTCTGGGCCTGCCAGCCCTTTTGTTTTTTTCTCCTCAAAATAGGGTTTGGGGCTAGGCTTTAGGAACTGGATTATCTGCACAGAGCCTGAGATTTCCCATCCCATCTCCTTCTTCTCTCCTCTACCAGAATTCATATTCCAAGCCACACTTCCCAAGGCAGCCTGGAAACCTCCCCTCCCCTGCTAGCCTCCTCACATTCCTGACCCTACAAGAAATTTTCTTGCTCACGATCATGATCATGCAACTGAGAAGCCACCACTCCTTTGGAATTGGGAGAGGAGCTGGAAAATAAAAGCAAATATAGAGTGGGGGTCTTCCCCCTTGCAGAACTTCTGTCCTGGCTGCTCCAGAGGAGATCCGGCAGAGTGCTGTGCCTCCTGTGTGTGCCTCCTCCCAAGAAGCAAGGGCCCAAAGGCCCAGGGTTGGGGTGAGGCTGAGAAGGGGGGCACCTGCTGTCACAGAATCCAAATTCTGAAACCACTGCTCAGTCCCTGGGCTGGGGTAGGGGGCACCTTAAAAACCACACTCTGTTGGGAGGCCGAGGTGGTCGGATCGGATCGTCTTCGGGAGTTGAAGACCAACCTGACCAACATGGAGAAACCCTGTCTCTACTAAAAATACAAAATTAGCTGGGTGTGGTGGCATATGCCTGTAATCCCAGCTACTGGGGAGGCTGAAGCAGGAGAATTGCTTGAACCCAGGAGGCGGAGGTTGAGGGTTGGAGTAAGCAGAAATCGCGCCATTGCACTCCAGTCTGGGCAACAAGAATGAAACTTCATCTCAAAAAAAGAAAAAGAAGAAAAAAAAAAAAAAAGCACTTTGAATAATGATACCCTAAGCCCAGTGCCTGGCAGGGAAAGGGTCTTGTTGCTCAGTGAGGCCTAGCTCTTATTTCCTTAGCCCCTCTCCAAATGCCAATCTCAACCCAACCCAGCTAGCTAGCCCCTCTCCACTGCCTTCTAGTTCCACTGCTCTCCTCAGGGCTACTACTCAGCAAGAATAAGGGCATCTTCAGAAGGAGGAATAGTCCAGATTCCAGTGGATTTCCTAGAGCCAGACTGAGTAAGCATCCACTGCTCTAGGTATATGCAAACTCTGAATACTGCAAATAAACATGCAGTAACTTCTATACCCAGCTGCCCACAGAGCACCAGGACACACAAGGGACTGCCTCCCACGCACTGTCCTGCAGAGGATGGCTACACATAGAGGTGCCCAATTTTAGAACAGGGGAGAAATCAGGGATTGTCTAGTCCAACTTGTTACGGATAAGGAAACTGAGGCCCAGAGCAAGGAGGTGATTTGGCTAGAACCATACTTGGGATAGGCTTGGGAGTCAGAAGTCTTGAATTTTAGAAGTTCCAGCTTGGCTGTGTGACATGAAGCAGAGCACTCCTTGGGCCTCAGTGTCCCCTTCTGTAAAGCCCGGGCATGTGTATGGAGGGAAGGGGTTTAGCTAAATGATATTTAAGGTCTCTTTCTGGATTGAATGTTAGTGATTCTCCATGTGCTGATATAAAAGTGAGTGACAATAAGAAGTAATAAACTGAGTTCTGATAATAACGGCACCATCGTGACCAGATTTGGAGTATGGTCACTGGGTTTACTGCTCTTCTGTATGTAGGGTGGGTTGTTTTCTATCCTCATCACCAAACCCAAAGTGCTATTTTTAGACACTGCAACTTGAGCAGTAAATAATTAATTTGTATAATTAAAGGAGGAAGCTTTCAACCTGGCAATTTTTAACCAGGCATCAATGCACCCATTGTACCAGCCGAGCCTTCTCACCCGACCCCCACCCCCTGCCCACACCACACCTACCACCCTCCCCAGTTGCCTCCCCCTCAGTTGGAGACCAGCATTCCCCAGATGGCCAGCAGGGTCCACAGGGCTAGACTGTGTCCCTCACAAAAAAGTTCCACGCCTTGCTCTGCTTCCCCATAGAAATAGGTCTGTCAGCAGCTGCACCTCAAGCCTGCTTTCCCTACCCCCAAAGCTGTACTGGGCTCCAGGTCTCTGCTCTGTGCTCTTGGGAAACATGTAATCTACCTCCCTAGCTCAAGATGCCCCAACAATGCAGCGAGTTTGCATTTCAAGAAACTCCCATTAATATCAATTTACTTCACTGAAACCTCGGGTTCTTCATCAAGTTGATGATTTATGATAAAATCAATTAAATTACGGCCACTTAGGGCCCAGCCGCTTCCTCTCAGATTTCATTGGTGCGGGGCCCAAGTGTCTGGTGGAAAAATGCAAGTTTAGCTGGAGGCGAGGAAAGATAATTCTGCGGCTGAGAAAATTTAATGCAAAACAATTTCCAGGCAAAGCTGGGCGTCTGGACAGAAATGCAAGAGCTACTAGTTGGCCTGCGGAAATTGCTATCTAGGGTCAAAATGTTTTTCTCCCCACCCCCATCATCCTGCATGGCTCCCTCACTCTGTTTGTCTTTGTATTCACTTGCTCCCCACACCCAAGCAGAGATTTGGGGGGAATTTGAGCAGTAATGGTGGGACACAAGGCTGCCAAGGCCCAGCCTCAAACCACGGATCTTCCCGATCTTCCCTTTCATCCTAAGCCTTTCCTCCTTTTGCCCTCCCTTCCTCACCCAACCATGCTCACTAATTCATTGGCTTTCTATCGCAAAGTAAAAAATTCAAAGTGAAGATGAGGCTGGGTAGGCAGAAGGCACAGGAGGCACACTGGAAAGGGCAAAGGGGCAGGGTCCAGGAGGCCAGGCCAAGTGGGCTCTACTGCATATGGCTGTGGGAAGGAAAAAGCAGGAAAGAACACTACTTCATGGACAGGACCAGGAAAAGTGTGTCTAGTGTTACTACATCCCAGAGTTCCAGAACCAGAGAACATAGGTCTCTCTCCTGGCTCCCAATCCCACAGCTCACACAGTGGTTCTGCAAACTCGTCCCAAAAGCTCCAGCTGTAGAACATGCAGCTCCCAATGTGCAGATGCACTCACACAATACACAAACATACCTACACATGTGCCTGCTTACACGCTCCCTTTGCACACACCCATCACACCGTCCGCCTGCAAAGGGACAGTTCCCACTATCCTCCCTTGTCTGGGAAAATAAATCCCAGTGCATCCGGCTGGCATCGCCTCCCGCTCCAAGGACAGGAGCTTCTCTGGCCTCTGCTGTTTGGTTTTTGGTTTCCAGAGCAGGCAGGAGTAAACACAACTTCTCTGAAGCCATAAATCACCCCCTTTCCTACCTTCTGGGCTTAACACTCAGCCTCAGTGCAATCCCTTGTAGTTTTGGCTTCAAATAACCCGCTAGGTGCTAAAGGGCTGGGCCATGGTGGCAGCTGGGTTGTGGAAGCTGACCCAGCCAACACCCCTTAACCCCACTGCCCCTAGCAGATGCCCCTCACATTTCCCTCAATACCCACAGCTCCCAACTACCCTGGAAAACCCTCCAGAGCCTCAACATCCTTCCTGAGCAGAGAGCTCTCCCATCACCTAACCCGATCCTGTCCACATGCGTACCCAAACAGCTCCACATTCCTCCACTCTCGTCCTCCACCCCAGGTCCCTCTACCCACTCGAAAGCCCCACCCTGCTTCTCAAAGTTGCTCTCATCTTTGTT